ATATAATATGTGTACAATTGATTGAACTTAAAACTGAGAACATTGAAAGCATTTTTGTTACAATACGACCCAAATGCTTACCTAGATCTATTAGTAACATCACTATTGCTGCTGTGTACCATCGCTCTCCCTCTAGCGCCAATGATTTCATTATGTGTAATCACATTTCGAATAACCTTGACTTTATCCGCACTAAGCATCCTGATACCGGAATTTTCATACTAGGAGACTTCAATAGAATGAAAGATGCTCAACTGAAGCAATTCCCGTTAAAACAGATTGTTAAGGATTGCACTAGGGAAAATGCTATACTGGATTTAATGTATACATCCATAGAAATTTCTATGAAACACCATACACTGAACCTGGACTGGGTCTGTCCGACCACTTAGTAGTTCTTTGCAGGCCTAACCTAGTGAGTAAAAGGGTACCACCAACTAAGTCGTACCAGTATAAGAGGAAAGTCAACAATCAAGCAAAGGAACTGTTTGAGCAAGATCTTACGAATATTCGTTGGCATGAGTTATACGCGCAAGCAACCTCTGCTGAGCAGTACGAATTCTTTGCTTCTCGGATCAGAACTCTTGTTGAAAAACACTTTCCGCTTATCCAAGTTGTTCGCACTAATGTTGACAAGCCATGGGTTACAAGTTACTACAAATCCTTGATCTTCAGACGTCAAGCTGAACTCAAGAAAGGCAACATGATTGAATTCAGGAAACTCAGAAATAAAGTAAACAAAGCCTCTAAAAAACTTAGACGCAGATACTATGAAAAGGAAGTTTCGCAGCTCTACAAGGTTGATGTGAAATCATGGTGGAGTAAGACCAATAGATTATTAAACAGCCCTCTAAACTACTTGACAAACAGTCTATGTAATGGTAACCAACAAGAATTAGCAGAAAAAGTGGCTAAATTTTTCAATTCAGTCACTGATGATTTTGAACCCCTTCAAAATCCTACTGTTGCCCCTCTTAATACACCTGTCTTAGACAATTTCATCATAACGCATGATCAGATATATGTCAAATTAAAAGCTCTAAGTGTAAACAAATCCCCAGGACCTGAAAGTATACCCACATGGGTCTTGAAGGACTTTGCCAACATTTTAGCAAAGCCTCTTTGTGCAGTTGCTAACTCCAGTTTACGTGAATCGTGTGTCCCTCACGAATGGAAAGCTGCAACTATTGTCCCTATCCAAAAAGTTAATCCTCCCACATCCATTGAATCTGACCTCAGACCAATTTCTTTAACTTCTGTATGTGGGAAAATAATTGAAAGTATTATTGGAGAAATGCTTTTAAATTAAATTCAGGACAAGATTGATTTAAATCAGTTCGGCTGTATGAAAGGTGTATCAACAGTTGATGCCCTTATCTCAATAATGTTCAAATGGTTTGAAGCTGCAGACCAAGGTAATGAGACCCGAGTCCTGCTTTTAGACTACAAAAAAGCATTCGACCTTATTGACCATACGATTGTAATTGAAAAACAAATTAAATGTTAGTACAACTTTAGTAAATTGGATTCATGCTTTCCTAAGCCATAGAATGCATAGAGTACGTATTGGCGATCACTTCTCGAGATGGCTAAGTCCGAAGGGAGGTGTGCCTCAGGGGTCCTGGCTCGGGCCAGTTCTTTTCATTATCTTCATTAATGACCTTAAAGTTAATCTTCCTATTGTTAAATACATGGATGACACCACGGTGTCAGAAAAGATTTCTAGTAAAAAACCGAGCACCTTTAAAAATGTCAGTGAGGAAATCTGTAGCTGGTCCACTAGCAACAGAATGAAGATTAATGAAAAGAAAACTAAGGAAATGCTAACTAGCTGTAAACGTGTAAAATCACAACCTCCAATGATTCAGATAAATGGTGTTAATATTGGCAATGTTAGTCAATCTAAATTGCTAGGTGTTACGATCCAGGATGACCTAGGATGGGAAAGCCATATTCAATCTATTGTATCCAAATGTAATACAAGAATCTACTTTTTAAAACAATTACGCAGATGTGGCCTTAATACCCTCATCTTGCGTCACTATTATTGCAGTGTTATTAGGTCAGTCGCTGAGTATGCGTGCCCTTTGTGGTTTCCTGGCACCACTCTCAAACAACAACAAATCATTGAAACAATTCAAAAGAGGGCTATTAAATGCATTCTTCCAGGAATGTCATACGAAAATGCTCTTCTTTTACTAGGCCTATCTCCACTTAAAGACAGATCTCTTATACACATCT